ATTTTTTAGCAAGAGGTAAAGCAGATGTGTACCTTAGAATGTAAGGCTCAGATAACACAGGCGAGATGGGTCCAAAGATATCGGACTCTTGTGACATGCGAAGAATTACTCTACGAACAATGTCACCCAGATACATTCCTGATATCATCTTCTCAAATCCCTATATATGAAAACCCACAAAGATGTTGATGCTAATTGGTTACCTGATAACTCCTGATGCATTACCAAACGGGAAAAATAGGGAAGTATGGCAAAAAAATTACCATATCATTTGCATTTGAACTCTCTGCATCCAAGTCAATGTCATAGGAAGTTCTAGGCAAATGTGAGGACCAAAAATTTCCCCACTCCATATTGACCACCTGAAACATAAGAGAGGATCAATCTTTAACACATCTTTCTCTTGGATCATAAGCTGGCTTCTAAAAATAGACCATGAAATGATTCTTAGTACCATGCTCCCAGAAGTTGTAAGCAGACCCTGACACTTAATTATGGCATCGGTTCGTTCCAAGTAACATGCATTACTACCTGTTCCAAACACAACCGCAACAACTGTGTCTGGGTCATGATAATATCCAAGCGACAAGGCTCCCACAGTATCATTCACCTGCTCATACGAGGAAACTGAATCAGAATTAAGCAGAAACATTTCATGAGATTTTTTGACAGTTACATAGATATTTTTAGTAGTAAAGAAGGTAAGGAAAACAAAAAGAAAGATTGAAAATTTTTGGTTGATGTGCCAGAATTTGGCCAAGGAAATGATTATGTTGCAGTGACAAAGTACTTACAAGAGCCCCAACATGCATATCTAGGCCTCTTCTGTTCAGCGCTCCTTGTAGACATTCAGCTATATCTTGTCCAACCTAAAATAATAAGGATTTGCTTGTAATAGATTTAAATATGTTGAACTCACACCAAACACTAAGAGATGGATTTCATTGTCACAAAATCACAACAAAAGAGCGCTCTCAGGATATCAACTTGAGTACTATTCTAGAAAGTAATCTGAAAGACGAGCAACGGGGTTGCAGAGAATATATAAAGCAATGTAAGCATCATGGTACTAACCATTTCACTAATCTCAAAACCTTTGGTCCATTTGATTAGAACTCCAGAAGAAATAGAAGTATGCTTGACAGGGAATGAAAACGTAAATGCAAGTTCCCTTCTAACACCTTGTGAATTGGACCCATTTTCCTCCTTTTCAATAAACCTTTCCAAGGAAAAAGCGAGAAAGTTGAAAAGAACCTGCAATCATGTAAACAAAAGAACAGAGACTAAATTAAGCAGTCTGCATATAATAAAACAAGCAAAGACATGTAAGAGATAAAAAGCAAAATAGTCACCTCGCTGGTGCTATTCATCAAATGTGAAGGTATTGGGTGTCGTTCGACATCTTGAACATCTAGATAAGACCTTTGACCACCCAGAAGAACTCTTAAAATCCTAAAATAAGTGCCTCCAAGGTGAAGTGCATAATAAGTTCCTTTCTCCCTCCTGAAATAAAAGCAGTCAGTCAGTGCAATCCAACACATAACTGCAATGATTGGATGTAAACATTTGAACAAACAGACTTGTTGTGGCAATGATGAGTCTACACGAAAGTTAAAAAAACCTGCAAATATTTTGAAAAATACATCTCCTCAGATAAAAAGAGAATCCAATGGCTACAATAAGAAGAAACCAGTTCATTTTCATTGAGCAGTAGCAATCTAGTGGAAAGGAACAAGATACCAAAGTAAAGGTAAGAGATAAGAGAGAAAGAAAAAAAAAAAAGAGAAGTCCTTAAAGCTTTTACCGGATATGTAAATTTCACATAAACAAAAAAGAGAGAGAACAGAATCAAAGGATCTGTCCCTGCAAAATGGTACCCACTGACACTTCTTTAATTCCCTGGCTCCAACTAAAGCTCAAAGTCACAGCCACTACGACCAGGATAGAGCTCGTTACTTGCATTTCAGAGCTAAAGATTGTAATTTATGTATCAAGTAACAAAACGATCGATTTCACAACATTTCGTTAGATGGTTACAAAGAGTAAAAATAAGGACTTTGGATCATGCAATGTAGAGACACATAAAGAACCTGAGATCACTAAATCTTGGAAAATCAAAAAGCAAACAGAAAAAACAGAAGAAAAGATTCATCTTTCACACATTACCTAATCAATGTTCACTAATCCAAGAAAAAAAAGAAAAAAAACAGAAATCCCTAATGAGGAAAGAAATCATACCCAGTGGGCAAATCATCGACGAAAGTGAGCAACATTTTAAGCTTAGAGCCACCTTCAGAAGCCAATCCAGCGTGCATCTCCACCGCCATAGCATCAACCACTTGCCTCAACCTTCCCACCGGAGTATCACAATCATCCTCCAACTCTTTCAAAATCTCAACAACAGTCCTCCATTTCCTCCGACTCTTCATCCTCCTATCAACCATCACCGCCGCAACAGAACAAGCCGCCACAACCGCCACCGCCGCAAACGCAACCGCCACTTTCCCCATCACAACCACCCAAAAACAGAACCAAAAAAGACAAATACACACAACAATCTCTCTGACGCTTTTTACTTACTCCAATAACGAGTTCACGAACAGCGAACACCGTCGATTAGAAAAACCTATACGAATCTGTTTCACCATCTTCTTCATCATCATCATCATCAACAACAACTACTTTGTTTTTCTTTTTCTCTCTCGACTTCTCTACTTGCTTTTTTTCTCCGCCGCCTTTCTTGCTCAGCTGTCACTGCTCTACAACTGCTTCGATTCGATGGTCAATAATCTCCGGCAAAGGTTAGAAAACGATTGAAACTTTCGAGTTTCTTCTTACCGGCGGTCAAGTGACGATTAAATATTCAGAATAGAGAGAGAGAAAGAGATTTATGGATTTCGGCAGAGACAAAAGCGGAAGGAGAGAGAAGGGGCTGGAAAGCGAACTAGTGTATATATATATATATATATATATATATATATAAGTGTGTGTGTATATATATATCGCGTAATTACAATAAACCCTCTCGTCTTTTTTAGATGTCGACGGTTTCGTTTTTTTTTTTTTTTTCCTTTTATTTCTGATTAATTTTCAGTTTATTAAATTGTTTTCGATAACGAATTTTCCATTTGATTACTCAATTTTAAAACATATTATTTTGACAAAATAAATTGGTTCACAAAATAAGTAAGGAGCATTGAGCTAATTTTTGGTTAATTTAGTTATTAAAAAATAATAAGAAGAAAACAGAAGAGTTTTTTTTTTTCTGTTATATTTAAAATACACAAAATAATTTGTTTGGTTGTTAAATTCTTTTTTTTTTTGGTTATAATGTAGTTAACTTACGCTTCTTTATCAACCTAATTATCTTTAACATACAATAATAGAAACAAAAGGATTAAATATATGACAAAAAATAAAATTTCATAAAAGAGGGAATTTGAAGTTTTGTCAATAATTGATTCCACTATACATATTAACGACCTTTTTTGGTTTATGATCACCAAAACAATATTGTTTAGCATTTCTACCCTCTATTTGTATAATATTACCGTCGTGCCCAGTCGTCTATATCTCTTTTACTTTAATCGCACTTTATTTTTAAGGACAGTTACAAATAGGAGATTACCAAACGTAACTCAATTTAAATTCCAATCATAAAATCATATAAAATAATAAAATAAAGTAAAAAAGAGTAATACTACTACTACTTGGTTTGACCTTTGACCGGTCGATTTATTAAGACTCTGCTTTGAATTAAATTTCAACGGCGTGCTCTTTTTGCCGTTGGGAATCTCTCATGACCCCAAATATTAATAATTAGAAGAATTCTAACCATCGGAATAATTTAATTAGCAATAATAAAACGGGTCCATGAGCTAATTATTGATAATGACTCGTGGCTAAATCTAGTCCAATAAACCCTAATGTATAGGGGTTCAATTGTAATATTCACCTTTTTTTTTTTTGCTCCTTTTTGTAGCATGCCCTACATTTTAGCCAAGTTGGCAATATTATGTGCATTTTTTCGCATTGGCATTATTATTTTCTGCCAGCCATTATTGCATTTTTCGTTATTTATTTTAAATTAAATTACTTCAATTTTCGTTATTGCAATTTAATTTTAAATGTAAATTAAAGCCGTTTTCTGAACAGTATATAAATGCATGCTGTTAAAATTTGAAGTATATAAACCGTCGGAACATGCTAACTTAATTTTTTTAAAAATGAAAATGAAATGACAAATCTGATTTAACTACTCAATTTAAAATCAAAATATTCTAGCATATTTTTTTAAATTATGCAGTACAACAGTAGTTGAAAATTTGTAAATATATGCAATTATTAAATAGTATTGGAATGTCCTTTTGGTGTATGAATGTGGCGAACAGCAGCATAGAAGCTGGCAATTTTAATTTTACATTATAATTTTTTTTTTAAGAAAAAAAATGTTTAAATTGTTGGGAAATTAAAATATCTACAAATGGCGAGGGACAAACAGCGTCAGAGCCCATGAAAACGCACGTTGCAATTTAAGAAGAAGAAGCAAAAAAAAAAAATGGAATAAGAAGAAAAAAAAAAGAAAAAGAAAATTCGCTCTTCCCCAGTTTGACAGCTCACTGCCACTCAACAGTGGAACCCACAGGCTTCCTAATATTTACTATTTTGACCCTAGTAGTAGGGGTCTACTTCGTCCGTCCTCCTCTTATTAACCCTAGAGGTTCTCCGCGTTTTGGTTTCTCTCAGATTGTGGTCACGTGACTTGACACGTCACCTGCTTACCCTTCGCTGACGCAACGCTCTCTTTTCCTTTCCAGTTTCCACCACAACGTTTTTTCTTTTTCTCATCTAATTTAATTTCGCATTTAAGTTTATGAGTGATTGCATTTAATTTGAATCAAATTTTTATACACGTTGTTGAATAGTTATAGATTTGAGCTATTTATATTTAAACACCGTATAAGCTTATAAATACGACTTGTATTGTCTGATGTATATAAATTCAAGATTAGAAAAACAAACAATTTAAAAATGTAATGAAAAAATTGATAGGCCTTGTAGTCTATTTCTTCTTTTCGAGCCACGCATTTATAAGGCCCAGATAAAAAGCCCAACTAAGGTATCCCGTTCAAATTCTGACACGTCATCATCGTCTACGATAAAAACTGCAAAAGGAGATGAGGTGAGTGAGAGAGGGAGAGAGAATGGCTCGAGCTCTGCTGCTGCAACCGTACAGAGCGACGGTGCTAGCAGCTTCATCTAGCGAAACGAAATACGACGGCGTTCCGGAGGTTAAGCTCTCGGATCCTACCCGGAACTACCGGGTATTAGTGTTGGGTGGAACGGGTCGGGTCGGCGGGTCTACTGCTACTGCTCTCTCGAAGCTATGTCCCAAGCTAAAAATCGTCGTCGGTGGACGCAACAGGTTCGCGAGAAATTTATTTTTTGAATTTCCATGGAAATGTCGAAAAGGTTCGAAATTCATTAATATGATTCATCCTCTATACGCAGAGAGAAAGGTGAAGCAATGGTGGCTAAATTGGGAGAGAATTCTGAGTTTGCTCAAGTAGATATCAATGACACTAAGATGCTTGAGACAAGTTTAAGAGGTTTGTAGGGATTTAGATAAGTTTTTCTGGGATTTCTTTTGGCTATTGAAGTTTTATTATTTGAGTAATTCACCGTGAAATGTGTGAATCCAGACGTTGATCTTGTAGTCCATGCCGCTGGACCATTCCAGCAAGCTCCTCGATGCACTGTTCTTGAAGCTGCTATAAAGACCAAGGTGAGGATAAGGTAAACAAACAGTTTCTAATGTCACCAAACCTTACCTTGTCTGAAATGGATGAGCACTCCTTAAGGAATTGAGTCTTACAGAGATTTTTTTGTGTGTTTATATCTGAAACAGACCGCATATCTCGATGTTTGTGACGACACAAGCTATGCTTTCCGTGCAAAATCTCTTGAAGCTGAGGCAATTGCTGCGAATATCCCGGCGTTAACAACAGCTGGAATATATCCAGGAGTTAGCAATGGTGTTATAATCTGAATACTAGTCCCTCTAGCTTTTATGCTTGATATTGTTTTGTTGCAATAATTTAACAACATGTTTGTCTTTCTTATAGTGATGGCGGCAGAAATGGTCGCTGCAGCAATAAGCGAAGACAAAGGAAAACCAGAGAAATTGAGGTAACGCTAAGAACTTTCTTACATGTTTGTCATCGTAAGTGAAACTGTAGTTTTCATATTGCAACAATATTTTTTTCTTGTAGTTGACTCAGACTTTTACTTGTCTCGCAATGTCATATCAGGTTCTCTTATTACACAGCAGGCACTGGCGGTGCGGGTCCTACAATATTAGCAACGAGTTTTCTACTACTCGGAGAGGAAGTTACTGCATATAAACAAGGTAAGTGTTATAGGACTTTTAACTCTTAGAAATCTAAACATATCTTTCTCTCAGAAATTTTCTCAGCCTTGTATTGTGGGACTTGATCAGGAGAGAAGGTGAAACTAAGACCCTACAGTGGAATGATAACCGTGGATTTCGGAAAAGGCATCCGGAAAAGAGATGTCTATCTTTTGTAAGTTTCTCTTCCATATCAAAAGCTACATTGACATACTGGAAAGGATTTGCTTAGAACAGTGATTGTTTTCAGGAATTTGCCAGAGGTTAGATCAACTCATGAAGTTCTAGGAGTGCCAACTGTCGTTGCTCGATTCGGCACAGCTCCTTTCTTCTGGAACTGGGGAATGGAGATCATGACAAAACTCTTACCATCGGTATCATGCTCAGACCTTACCTGAATCAATGGTCCCATGATCAATTATATCTACCTTAGTCAAATTGCAATGCTTGTCTTGCACGCTTCAGGAGGTCCTTAGAGACAGAACCAAAGTCCAACAAATGGTAGAGCTGTTTGACCCTGTTGTTAGAGCCATGGATAGCTTTGCTGGAGAGCGTGTCTCGATGAGGGTAAGTGAAAAAACAGAGAATTGAAAAAAAATCTGCAGTAGTAAGTAGTTATTTCGGTGACTCATTGTTACTTATGTTTAACTCTTTGGGAAGGTTGATTTGGAGTGCTCGGATGGACGGACCACAGTTGGGTTATTTAGTCATAAAAAACTATCCGTGTGAGTCTCCTTAACATCCCTATATAACATACACATGTATAAAGCTATGTATGAGAACCGATATATCTTGTGTTTACAGATCCGTTGGAGTTTCAACCGCGGCTTTTGTTGTAGCAATGCTTGAAGGAAGCACACAGCCAGGGGTTTGGTTTCCAGAAGAGGTGTCTCTCTTTAGATTCCCAAAGAGACCTTAAGTTTTTTTTGTTTACGATGAAAAACAATGTTGAAATTTTGTTCTGTACAGCCTCAAGGGATCGCAGTAGAGGCAAGGGAAGTTCTTCTCAAACGTGCATCACAAGGAACATTCAATTTCATACTGAACAAGTGAGCCATTTTTGTTCCCTTTTTTTCCTTTTATTGCAGATATCGATTCTTTATTTCCTCTATTTTAGTTTGATAAAATATTTTCTTGGTCTTCTAATCTAAAGGCCACCCTGGATGGTTGAGACCGAGCCGAAGGAGGTGGTTTTAGGGATATATGTATGAGTTCGACCGAGGAAGAAGAAACATAGATGATCATCGATACTTTACTTTGTAAACCAATTTGCGTCTGATGTGTATACTCTTACAGATAAACATTTTCATCAAAAGATACATATAAAAAAAAATCAAAAAACCACTTGGCGATGACACAATCGTCCGTTGAAACAACCATATAAATCAATGAAGAATATAATTTACAGGTGACATGAAAAGTAAAGATCCAACAAGCTCTTTCCTTGTACTATATGTTCAATAAAGTCCCAACATTTTGAGTTCCATCACATGACTCTGGTCAAGCTCAGGAACATTCTTGCAGTCGCGGTCTTCCACTATATATTCCTGATGTGAATGACATGAAAACAGTGTTGTATACCAGAAAAGCGATTACCGTAAATCAAGAACGGAAAAGCTGCAAGAAATCAAACCTTTGTAAGTTCTTGTTTGGCGAGAACATGGTAATGCCGCTCGTTGATCTTTTGACCACATATTATAGCGATGAAGAATCCGTATAGCAGTCCTACCAAGACAATAGCCAAAACTGCAACATAAAACAGACCATCATGTTCATTTTACGCTCAGTAGTTCAGCACAAAGATGATTTTGATCAACTCTAAGCCTCGTGACTGGGTGATTATGTCCATGAACCTATAGAAAACGAAAATAGTTGTACCAGCCAATGTGTAGAACCCATAAGGATGTTCCTCATAACCAAACATTTCTCGTAGTTCTTCACCGTAGAATTTGTAAACTAGTAACCCCAAGAATGCTACAATCTGTTGATACGAGAAGCCTTTATTCATTAGTATATAAATGCATTCACTAAGCATCACATGTATCATCCAATCTGAATTCATACGAGGAATCTCCTGTTTCGGTTTTCAAATGCGATAAGAAACCACAAATTTGGTCATAAACTGGTATGGCAATTATAGCTAAGGATTTGCATTCTCATGATTGAATTCTAGTATATAGTAACATCATAGAAGAAAGTGTATAAAGAATAAATTCAATCATGAGAATGCAAATTCTAGTATATGACCAATTATAGCTAAGAAACCACGAATTTGGTCATAAAATGGGAGTGAAGAAGCTAGGTAGTAACATCATAGAAGAAAGTGTATAAACACTAAATTCTAAAAAGGAAACAAGTCATGTACCATCTGGACAGAAATGAAGATGAAGGTATGATCTCTAGCAACCAGCAGCTGAAATCTCAATCTCAACCACCATCTATCAGCAGGTACATTGGCTCGGAGTTTGAAGAAGGCTCTACACTCTGTACAATGCGAAAATGCAAAACCTTCCTGAAACATATTGCATAGAAACAAAATACACTTCATAAACTAAGTAAAACCATTGATTCAAAACCAAGAACAAAAATTCTGGCAACGGTGACGATAATTTACCTTGGTGGAGCGCCAATTATCGAGACAAGATCTGTGAACGTGCTTCTGAGTACCTTTACAATTGCACGGAGCAATCAGATCTTCCCCTGCAACCAAAAAACAAACCACTAAGTCTTCTCATTTTCTCAACATATGCCTATTCTTGTATCAGATAAGGAATTTGTTAATTTATACCTCCAACATCAAGGCAAATTCGACATTGTGGTTGATCTCCAGAAACAAGAAGTGTAGTTTCGTCATCATCAGTCTCAGCTATTTCTGAAACTTGTCCTTCCTCCAAAACACGATCTCCTCTTTCCGCAGCTACGATTTCGTTCGAGGATGTTGATTCGTCGAGTAAAATATGTTCCTTCCTATGATCATCATCATCACTAGGCACTAATTGCATCTCTTAAACATACTAAAATTTCTGGAAATGGAAAAACCTGTGAACGCGAAAGAATTCAACACAGCATCAGAAAACTCGATCTAGGGTTTCGCCGGGAAACATGCGAAAAATCGATACTTACACGAACTCAACCAATTCTCGAGAATTTTCTTCCAAGACAAGCCATTGCTTGCGAGTAAAAGAAATTGGTAAACTATGGCTACGAATCAGAGTGATGGGGATTGAATTTTGTTAGTCTCGATTCATCACTATGTGTTGAATACAGAGACGAAGAAGATTGATTGGGATCAATCAATAACGATGGCGAAGAAAAGTCTAAAGGGTAAAATTGGAATTTTAAAAAACAAGTGAAGAGCACGTGTGACACGTGGGATTTATCTCAGTTTCACAGTAGTCCTGTGAAGTTCATCGTTAACTTCGCAGACTCTGTTGGGATTAGTCAACACAGATCAGAATCTGAGCTTTTGGCCGAGACAAGAGAAGAAGAAGAAGATGGCGGAGACTGTACATTCTCCGATCGTGACTTACGCATCGATGTTATCGCTTCTCGCCTTCTGTCCACCTTTCGTCATTCTCCTGTAAGCTCATCATTTTCGGTTTTTTGCCTCGCAGATTTTTCTATATCCTAAATTCATAGCTAGAAGTGAATAGCCGATATCTTCAAATCATTTCCCATTAAGTAGGAATCGTAAGAATCTTTGATTGAAAAAGCGATTCAATGAGTTTCCAGATTTTTAGGCAACAAGGGTAGATTTGAAGCTACAAAATCATATTTAAATCTTATATGGGGAATATTGGACATTATTTGTTGTTGTAAAATTAGTTAGCTGTGATTATAAGTTATCCCGAGACCATCAGTTTCAGTGAGTTTTTAAGTAATGTAAACAAGTTTCATTTCTTTATGATGTAGATGGTACACAATGGTTCATCAGGATGGTTCTGTTACTCAGACCTTTGGCTTCTTTTGGGAAAATGGAGTTCAAGGACTCGTCAACATTTGGCCAAGACCCACTTTGATTGCTTGGAAAATTATATTTTGCTATGGAGCATTTGAAGCTGCTCTTCAGCTACTTCTGCCTGGTAAAAGAGTTGAGGGTCCAATATCTCCAGCCGGAAACCGACCAGTCTACAAGGTAATGAAAATGGCCTTGCATGAGTTCGATTAGCCTTGTGTGGTGGAAGTTGATGCAGATGATAACTGTATGGTTCTGTTCTTGCAGGCCAATGGTCTGGCTGCTTACTTTGTGACACTAGCTACCTATCTTGGTCTTTGGTGGTAAGAAATGTTAAAATCTTTTGATGACTTTGGTTTTGATTAAATTTATGCTTACGTATCTTAAGCTTGGATTAAGTGTTGCACCTATGTGAGTTCACTTCTTTGGTTTAGGTTTGGGATCTTCAACCCTGCAATTGTCTATGATCACTTGGGTGAAATATTTTCGGCACTAATATTTGGAAGCTTCATATTTTGTGTTTTGTTGTACATAAAAGTAAGTGTCAATTTCATTAATGGTGTGTTCTTTGTTTTCTTAGTCCCTACTATTGTAGAATTTGACCTTTTGTGTTTCTAAAACTTGTTTTTTTTTTTTCTTGTACAGGGCCATGTTGCGCCTTCATCAAATGACTCTGGTTCATGTGGTAACCTAATAATTGACTTCTATTGGGTGAGTTATTTCTGCTGATCAGATTCTCATTCTTTTGAAATTACTCGCTGGGATTTATTCGAAGAACTCGTGTCTTATAAGCCATCTCCTCATAATTTGGTTGCCTCTTTTCTCGACATTTGGAGGTCAAGCTTTACTAAAGTTCCACATCTAGTAGACCTGTAAACGTCAATGTTCTTAGCAGTATTTATCTTTTTATTGACTAAATACAAGAGAACTAGTTTGGTATGAATGTCGTCTAAAATGTCAGTAGTCGGTGAAGGACAAGAACAAAGTATTCAGTAGTTGTTATAACAATCTCAAGTTGAGATCATCTCTCACAATGTACTCTTTTTGTTCAGCTTATCATTAACACAATCCCATTTGTGGCAATCTTTTTCTCACTGTGTTCTTTGCGTCGTGGTTTGCAGGGCATGGAGTTGTACCCTCGAATTGGTAAGAACTTTGACATCAAGGTGTTTACTAACTGCAGATTCGGAATGATGTCTTGGGCAGTTCTTGCAGTCACGTACTGCATAAAACAGGTACTTTCTGGATAGTTCTTATGTAAATACTACACTCTGACGACATAACCTGGAGGTTTCTTTAAGTTCTTAATCTTATTTCATTAAAGAGCTTCACCTCTTACTGATTTGTGATTCCTATACTTTCTTTGACCAGTATGAAATAAATGGCAAAGTATCTGATTCAATGCTGGTGAACACCATCCTGATGCTGGTGTATGTCACAAAATTCTTCTGGTGGGAAGCTGGTTATTGGAACACCATGGACATTGCACATGACCGAGGTATGCTTCTGGTACATATATAAAATTATAAATCATCATCGTCCTCGTATATGGTACAAGGAAAGAAAGCCAGTTGCAACAACAAAAGTTTCTTTACTGTTTGGCTATAATTTCCTTGCCAGTTCTGTTTATATGGCTGATGCAGCAGCTTTTTATTCAGATGATTGTCTCTAGCTTTAACACATGGAGTGAAGCTTACTTTCCGATGCTTTATAATTTATGATTTTTCAGCTGGCTTCTATATATGCTGGGGTTGTCTAGTGTGGGTGCCTTCTGTGTACACTTCTCCAGGCATGTACCTTGTGAACCACCCCGTCGAACTTGGAACTCAGGTGCATGATTGTTAATTTGTATAGAAGAGAGAAATCCCCTTTGTGTGGTTAATCATACGAGAAACTTTTAAAATACCACTTTTTCATACGGAAAAAAAGTAACGTTTAGCTAAATGTGACAATCTCAATTTCTAGTAATTGCACTTCCAATCTTGTAATTGAATTACTGGGTATCTTCCATTACATTAGATGGGAGAGAGTACAATGTAGAATGTTGATCAAATGCTTGTTGCGTTTTATGGCTCATGATTGTAGTTGTCAGATATCAGTCTTTGTAGTAGAATAAATCTGTTCATGAAACACTACTGATGCTACAATCGTTGGGAAATTTATGCCTATCTCCGTATCTAAGACTTCACTATAACCGTCTTTGGTTGCAGTTGGCAATATACATTCTCGTTGCGGGAATTCTCTGCATTTACATAAACTATGACTGTGATAGACAAAGGCAAGAGTTCAGGAGGACAAACGGGAAATGTTTGGTTTGGGGCAGAGCCCCGTCAAAGGTGTGATCATAATAAGCCTCAACTAGCTCAGCGAACTTAGCTTTATTCTTTTTCAGATCTAAACATTTTGATGTGTATGAATATATCTTGGTCTCTCGGTTTGTTGCAGATTGTGGCGTCGTATACTACAACATCTGGTGAAACTAAAACTAGTCTTCTCTTAACGTCTGGATGGTGAGGCTATTCTACTTTTACACTGTAACAACAATTAACTAGACGTTTGTCATCATGAATGGCTTTGACTGTGCAGGTGGGGATTGGCTCGTCATTTCCATTATGTTCCTGAGATCTTAAGTGCTTTCTTCTGGACTGTACCGGCTCTCTTCGATAACGTAAAATCCTTCTCAATCTCTTTGCTATATTATATGCTCTTGTTGCAAGTGAGACAAACTTAACACACTCTGCTCTATTTCAACCAGTTCTTGGCATACTTCTACGTCATATTTCTCACCATTCTTCTCTTCGATCGAGCCAAGAGAGACGATGACCGATGCCGATCAAAGTAAGCACCAAATCTGAATTATTTATTTACACATCCTCTTTGATCTTACTTTTTGATTTGCTGACAATATTTCGGTTGTTTTTTTTGGTAAGGTATGGGAAATATTGGAAGCTGTACTGTGAGAAAGTCAAATACAGGATCATTCCGGGGATCTATTGATTGTAACGAAGTCTGTTGTTCTCTTTTTTATAGTACTACACTTGTTTCGTTAATTTGAACGTTGGAATCATCAAAAGACCGAGAAAAGCAAAATTGATGCGTTAGACATTATTTTGCTGATTTGTATGCTATAGGTTTTGAAATCTCTAGCTACGCTTATGTATTTCCCTAGATTTAGCCTGCCGTTTTAACTTTATTATTATTTGATATTTTGATTATACGTACTGCTTTTTAAATGCATCAAATAAGTTAATTCATCATCTAATATTTTAATTATACGTTTATATTATTAGTGTTGTCGAGGTATCATTAACCGGGTTTTGAACCCCTATAAGTACATGCATTAATTGAACTTGAACCCTATAAATGTTCACAAAGAATTGAAAGTGTTCTTTCAATTTTTCAATCACAAAGATCTCACCGACTACTATCAAGTTGACTCCATTTTTTAGATTTGATTTGGTATTATGTAGGATCCACAATTCTACTATGGACACAGTTTCACAAAAAGGTACTATCATTTTCTAATTTGTAGTCAAAGCTAAACTAAATTTCCCTTCATACTATATCAATTTTACTGTGTTGTTATATGCATATTTTTCTCATTTTATAGTGTACTACTTTACTAGGCGAAAAAAATATAGTAGTACTACTTTACTATTGATTAGATGAGGTACAATAGTAAAATAACATCATTCTTTTTCTGTAGAATCTCTGGTCAATGGTCTTTTTAGTTTAAAAACTGTATTATGTTCTCTCTCACACAGTAAAAAACAAAGAGAGAGAGAAAGAAGAGAAGAAGACAAAAATGTAGGCATTAAAAAGAAGAAAAAGACAAAGAGAAAAGTAATGAAAAGACAATGAACATTTAAAGAAGACAGACAAATCCCACACCCAAGCCTCAGCCTCATCTCCTTTATTGTTATTTGTTTTTCTAACAAAACAACAAAAACAAAAGAGATGGTTTTTGGGTTTTGTTTTGTCTTTGTTAGGGCGTGTTTGGACGTTTCCCTCTTCTCAGAATCAATATTACCAAAACAGCTTTTTATTTTTCTCTTTAACAAAATTTTTATGTAGAAAAGTATAGTCATGATTCCAAATCCACCTCATGCCATGACAAAAACCCATAAAAGTGGAGGTTCCAATCTCGAATACAGACATATATGTTGTATTCGTGTATGTATCTATTATTAGATCATTCCAAATTGTATAATGCCAAATGGGTTCATTGAACTTCTTCTTCCT